TCGTGTGAAATCATGTGTGTGTGTGTGTGTGTGTGTGTGTGTGTGTGTGTGTGTGTGTGTGTACAACACAGCTTCTTTATCCAGTCATCTGTCGATGGACATTTAGGTGGCTATTCCATGTCTTGGCTGTTGTAAATAGTGCTGCTATGAACATTAGGGTGCATGTACCTTTTCAAATTAGAGTTCCCTCTGGATATATGCCCAGGAGTGGGATTGCTGGATCACAGGGTAAGTCTATTTTTAGTTTCTTTAAGGAAACTCCTTACTGTGTTCCACAGCGGCCGCATCAATCTGCTTTCCTACCAACGTGTAGGAGGGCTCTCTTTTTCTCCGTAGCCTCTCCAGCATTTATTGTTTGTGGACTTTTTAACGATGCCCATTCTGACTGGTGTGAGGTTGTAGATACCTCATTGTAATTTTGATTTGCATTTCTCTGATAATTAGGCATACTGAGCACGTTCGATCCATTCTTGATCTCAATTCAGAAAATGTGTTATTAACCTTTTCCTGTATAATGATTTTTTTCTCTATCGTGGTTTTTAATTGATCATTCCCAGCACTAAGCCCTTCAAAAACCTGATTTTTTTCCTCTGCCATCCATCGTTAGATGAGGATTGAGATATTCCATCCTTATGATCACTTTCAGTGGCTTCAGCTTGTGGGAGCGTGTGTTCCCTGGAACACGCCTAGATTGCAGGTTAAAGCCAAACAGCTCCTTTGAGTAATTACAGTTGTTCTTTCCTGATTGGATGAATGAAGAACTATGACTTCATGACAAAGGGAAAAGGGCGTGGTTAGAATAGAACGCGCTGGAGGAGGTCGCAGCCCACGATGAGCACTTATGGAGGTCCGAGGTCCCACGGCAGCCCGGAAGCTTGGGGTGCTGCTGTTCAGATGTGTTTGTAGTAGCAGACACTGCTGGCCCAGGTGGCGCACAGTGTCCCTGACAGTTTACAGGACCTCTGTGTGTAATTTTGTGTATCCTGCCCGATCCAGCTCAACGGGGGTACCGTTCACATACGCTCTGGTTAGAACGGTCCTCCTGGGATGATGCAGTGCACCTCGCGCACAGTGGTAGACAGCGGACATGCTGCCTCCTGCCTTATTTTTCAGTCTCTCTCCACCCAGCTTTCTCCCCTGGGTTTGAGTGGCCCGGACTGACAAAATTGCCCAGAGATGCTACATGACACTGGTGACCGAGGTGACCTGACATCACGTAAATGACTAAAATATGTGGTCAAAACACGTCCACTTCCTTCTCACATCCCACCCCACCCCTCTCCCTGGACGCCTCACTTCCCGACTCGTCTCCATGTTGAAGAACATTTCTTCTCCTGCTCCGCCCCAAGCCCCACTCCACTTCACCTTTATTTCATTTAAAAATCAACCCTGGAAAATTCCGGCTTGCAGAAGTGAGTGTATATTATCACGGGTGCTAAACCGGGCTGGGAACAGCTTCAGGAGATACCATGTGACATGCATGCACAGGGTGACACGTCACACATCACCCGTTTTTAGGATGACATGAAGACGGGTCGTTCACCCCGCACCTCCTCTTAAGGATCCCTTTATTATTTCTTGGTGCCGAGTCAGTACAAGTTAGTTGGATTTCACAGCTCTGGGTGAATTGTCATAGGCCTGTGTTTTTAAGAAGGGACACTTTTGGGCATTAATTATCAAAATAATAAGCATGACTATTTTTCTGAATGCTTGCCAGGTCAGGTGCTGAACGATGAATTTGGTTTTGTTTCCATTTTTTTTAAATTGAAGTATAGTGAGTTTACAGTATTGCGTCAGCTTCTGGTGGACAACATTGTGTTTCAGTCACACGTCTACCTGCACACAGAGTGATCAATTTTTAATATATCTTCTGACGTTATTTTTTCCTCATGGGGTACCATCCAGGGGACAATATCATCTTCATTTTATAAATGAACCCCTAGAAGCTTGTCCAAGTTTGGTCTGACTCCTAAGTTCAGGAGCGTTTGTCTCCTACTGTGATGCTCTGCCCCCCCGCCCAAGGACATTCGCAGGCACTGACTCCTGCTATCAGATAATTACCCTTCGCAGCACAAGCACACTCAGGAGCTGATTCTTGACTTTGCTGATGGCTCTCTGCATCCCTGGATGTGAGCCCAAGTTCTGCCATCGGTGCTGATTATCCATGAACGCTGCCGCGGCCCTGGTCACGCGGGCGGGCAGCCTCTCCCACGTGCAGCTCGCCCACAGTGGTTCCGCTCCCCTGGACCCCAGATGCGGACGGGGTTGATGGATGAAGAAGCAGAGTGAAGACGACATTTATGACTTGTCTGAGAGAACCAAGAAAACCGTGGATGTTTGGCCGCTTACTGATTATGTAAACACAAAATCCCAAACATAGAGCGTCTGTTCCAGGACCCCCGTGGAGAAGAACTCCATGCTTTATTCAATTATGAAATTATTGTGTGGCTCAGATACTGGGAATCTTGAAAAACTTTGAGAAAAGGAAGTTGCCTGGGGAGTCCCCTGTCTCCCCCACCCCAAATATGCTCTTTGGTGTGGAGTTGGTGGCTCGGTGGTTCTTGCACAGAGCATTGTGCGTTTGGCCGCAGAGTGGGCCAAGCTGCTTTTCTGTCACATTCCTGACAGTGTGGCCTCAGGGCGTAGGCTTTGCTCAAGATCATTTGAGGCCCCAGAGCGAGAGCTGATGGCGACACGCCAGGCAAGGAGGGGGCTGCTAGAGGCCTGAGCACTTCCTGCACGGCCGGCTCCCACTCCGCAGGGGCCAAGAGCTGGCGTTGGCATGGAGGTGCAGTGTCCCCAGAACTTAATGGCTGTAAGAACCAGCCTCAGAAGCAGTTAATTAGAAGCCCTTGAGTCTTGATAGGTATTGTTACAGACCGCTGTGCCTTTTCATTACGAAGCTGGGAAAGGGCTGCACAGGGGGAGGCATGGGAGATGCTTTGCAGGCAGACGCAGACGAGACCCCGCCGGCAGTGCCAGGAGGGAGGCCTCCGCAGAAGGAGATTCGCTCCGGGAAAATTCCGAGACTCCCATGAGCCCCAGGCTCTTGAGAAATAAGGACTTCCGGGCAAGTCGCTTGGCTCGGTTTTAAGAAAACGAGCCACTTAACTTACAGACCAGGTGCAGGGACTGACGTCTGAGTTAAGAAGCACTTCAGCTCTGGAAGAGAAATGGGGAGACGGAAGTGGGGGTGGCGGGGCCGGGGGTGGGGAGGAACATAGTCGTCAGGAAAAGTGCAACGAGCCTCTGAGGCCACAAGGCAGGAATGCAGCAGAAACGTGCAGAATCTCCAGGACCCACTCGGGGGAGTTCACCCCCCAGCCACGAATTGCAGGACTTAGTCCTGGCCCCCTAGTGGCAGAAGGGGGAACAGCATGCTGATTGATGGGTGCTGTGTCCCTGGGAGCCTTTATAAAAGACCTTATTCACAACAGAAGCTAAGTTTTGTAAAAATCTGAGTAAGAGGGGGTTTAAGTTATTTCCAGATTAGATGATCTTAAATATGAGCATAGATGAATACGGTAACTCCTATGTCTTCAATCCATGTATGTACTTGGAGATTGCAATTAATATGCTATCTTTCAAATGGCTGTACTGGATATAATTCTTCTATGAGATCTTACTTTTGATGTAAATTGAAAAGCATGCTCTCATACTGGGAAAATCATCAACATGCTGAAAGCAGCTTTCAGCTGGGAGCTGAAACTTGGGTGACCATCCAGCTTAGTTATGCAAAAACTGGGTGATTGTCAGAAAAATAATTCATTTATTGTGCAAGGATATTTGCACAATAATTTGTGCAATATTTGGGGGGGCACATATGTATAAATATATTTCTTACATTAAAGCAATTACGGGTACTCATACATACTTTTCAGGAGGTATTGAAGGAACCGAACAATGAGTGTTTCTTGAACACCCTCAGTGAGCTGACTTCTGGTCCATCCCAGTGAGGGATAGTAGAGAAGGATGAACAAAGCCCCTGTCCAATCCAAAGGCGGAAACTAAGACTGCCTGAGGTAATGATCAACCATGTAACTCATCGAATGGCCTTGGCTTGAAGACATCTTAGGGAATACACACAATGACTTGAACCCAAACTGGACTTGAGAGCTTGTATGTGGTCAGTGCTTCGCAGCTTCCCGGCCGCCCTCTGTCTCTAGTGATCTCCACTCACACAGCGCATCCTTCCTGCCCCCAGCCACACCCACAGATGTGTACACCCTAATCCGGCTCCTTCCCATGTCACTTGCACAACTTATCGCTTGACTGGGGTCCTGTACGATCTCTCTGGCTCACACGCTCCATTAACATATATTCTTATGTATTCCATGGCCAGATTCTTATTTCTCTTTGCTCCCTACACAACATGAGATCTCATGGAAAAAGATTTCTTTTCTGTATTATACTCATGATTTTACTTTTCCTACTTCCTCATCATCAATACTAATGTCTTAGCCCCTTGGTGTAATTAATTTATAATACAGATGCCAGGTAAGTTCATGTGGGAATGTGTGATCATTAAGGGATATGTATGTGTGTGTGTGTGTGTGTGTATTATAAGGTAAGATTTATTTAATAATACAGGACTGTTAAGCTGGGTTAGTGATGCTCTGAGTTTATTGATCATAAGGCCGTTGGAACCAGACGTGAGTCCTAAAATTGGAGCCTAAAGATGCTGTTAACATTGCTCTAGATTAATGCCAGTTGCTTTTCAAGAATCAAAACTACTCTAGCATGATCTATTGATGATAGTTAAATTGTTTTGCCAATCAAGTCCTAGGAGTTATTCAAGATTCCTTTGTTCCAAGAGAAATTGTTGATCTAGTAACCACCAGCCAAAGACATTCATCAGAAGCTGAAATCCATGGTGAGTGAATTATCATGCATCTTAAATTTCAGGAAGAATGAGAATGTTTTAGCAATACAATGACAAAAGAAAAAAGGGTTGAAAGCTAAATCACCTCGAAACTGCAGCCAGCTCATTAGATTCTCTGAATGTCCTGTAAGACAGAAAAATATCAAGTTCAGTTGAGACAGGACGGTTTTATGGTAGAAATCTATCAGGCTCTTTTATTCTGGGACAAAACTCCAAACTTGAGAACTGAGTGTTTTCTCTCATGCACGTTGGATTTAAAGGCTATTGTAGCCAAGGATGTCCTCTGCCGCATAACTCTTGCTGTTTGCACAACCTACACATGATCCAAAGCCCAGAGTTATAATTAAAGACCTTGTTACACCATAAAAGATTTTCAAATTTTCATCTGTGACAACCCACACAGCACTCAGGGCTTAAATACTTTATTGACCAGCCTGGCAGACTGACTCCTCTGTTGGAGCTGGGAGAGCCCAGCTTCAATTTATCTCTCCCACACTATGTATTTGTAGTCATAAATCTTTTGCTAGGCTCTTTGAACATTAAAAATAGCTCAGCATTGCTGGCTTTTCTTCTGGTGCCATGAGAGTCAAATCAAAGTTGCCAGCCTCCCCGTGGCCCTGCCGTGTGGCACTGCGCAGGGAGCTTTTCCATCTGTCCTGGCCCTCCCGCTCCCAGTGTCAGGTCTAATGACAGTGCTTCCCATTCAGGGTCGGCTCCCTGATCTGGAGATCGAAGCTAAGGAGCAGCCTGGGCCCAGCTGACTTTTCGCCAGGCCATATCTGTTCCCTCCTCTTGATGGACGATGACTGGTGGGGTGTGTCTTCGTTCTGCAGGGGATCCCACTAGATGGAGCAGAATCACTGTGCTGCCACTAAAGCCTGGCCCGTGGGCTTCCACCTGGACCCCCAGGAAGAGGGAGGCAGAGCAAGCAGCAAAGAGCAGGGAACAGGTTCTGAAAGTACAAAGGAGAAATAATTCCAATATAGGCCCCTGAGCAGAGCAGAACTAGGCTCTAAACGAGGGAGTGAACCTACACGACTGAGCAGGGCTGTTCAGAGAACAGACCAATGTGTTTCCACAGAATGTTATTTTATGAGTGTCCTTCTTCTAACGTGAGAATGTTGTTTGGGTTGGACTTTCATTTCAGTGGTGATTGGAAAGATGCTTTCTGGGAGTCCATCCCACAGACACGATGGGGGCATTTCTGCGTCTCTCTCTTTTTCTTCTAAGCTCTTCCCTTGATCTTGTACAAAACCAGCTTTATTGAGGCATAATTGACATTCAATGAACTGCGCATATTTAAAGTGCACACTTTGGGTAAGTTTTTATAGGTATTCACCCAGGACACTATCACCACCATCAGGATAATAAATATATCCATTACGCTTTATAGTTTCCTGGTGGCGTCTGGACTCCCTCCACCCTCCCCCTCCCCATCCCACTCCCATCTCCTGGGCAACCACCGGTCTGTTTCCTGTCACTGTATATTAGCCTTTATTTTCTAGATTTTTATATAAATGGCATCAGACAATATATGTTCTTCTGTTTAGCTTCTTTCCCTCAGCATAAATATTTTGAGTTTTAGCCATACTGCTTCACGTATGAACAGTTTCTTCTGTTTTATTGATCAGTACCCTTGCAGCATGTGGATATGCTGTAATCCACTCACCTGTTGATGGACATTTGA